AAGGCTGCCCCATGGTGCACAGTGCTCTCCCCTAGCAAACATGGTTCGTTTGAGGCCCTCACTTCTCCCTGCCTTCTCACAATTTCTTTCTGTAGATTGTTCGCTCCCGATAACCTGCCTCTTTTGTCCTCTGCTTAGATCATCAGTGTAACCAAGAATGCGCCTGGTCTTCCATTTTACATTCTTGCATTTCCCTGTTCAAAGCCCCCGTTTTGCAACTTTTGATTTAGTTCATCAGAGCGTTCTTTGGCTGCTTGCTTCAGCTCATATATGGAGTTTTGCAGTTTACAAACCAGTTTTTCTTTCCCTGGCTCTTCAACACCTGGTGGCTGGGTCTTCCAGGTCACCGTGCAGAAAGGCTGACTGAATAGCTGAGCCCTCCACGTGCCATTTTCTAAATGCTGCTGCACTTACTAGAATGCTGATAGTTGCATGTGCCACAACTTCGTCATAACCTTTGCCATCTTCTTCTGCGTAGGCCTTTGCTCCTGACGCAGCTTTATGGTACTGCACAAGTCCACGAGCATCAAGCTTAGTTTCGAAAACCCACTTGCAGCCCGTGACTCTTGTCCTTTCGCAGTTCTGGTAGATCCACGGCTTGGTTTTGTGCAAGAACCCTCTTCCTCCCAGCGCAGTTTCCTGCCTCCGCTTCTGCGCCTCAGCGGCCAGCACGCATTTCTTTCCACGGACTAGGATCAGCAAATGTCCAAATGGGTTCACTGCCCACGTAACTGTTTCCCATAAAACTCAGGCACCCGGCTTGGCGTGGAGCTGGAAAGAACCCAGTCCCCGAATTTGAAAAACCAGACCGGGAACCGCCACCGGGCCCGCGATGCTCGGGGCAGAGGTGCGCCTCCCCGCCTGAGAGCCGTCCGGGATCCGCCCGCAGCAAGCGCGAGCTCCGCAGCGCTCCCGAGGCGCGGATGGCTCGGCCGATCGTGGATTTCTGACGCCCGAGGACCAGACGCCGTCGGGAGCAGAGCGGACGCCCCGAGCGGCAGCGGCGAAGCGAATGGCGCAGGACGAGAGGGAGCCAAAGCCGGGCCCCGGGCTGCCCCCGCCCGCAGGGAAGGCTCCCGGCACATTCCGGAGCTG